GACAAGCTGTAGTTTCTGGGTCACCCTCAAAGGTAGTGCTGTGTAGTTGCGAGTTGTCCAGAACTTGGTCATCCAAACAGGAGTTCGTATATCAGGACAGATATTTGCTAACTCCACAGTCCTAGTGTCATGTGCTCGAAGAGGAGTGCGACACCCTCCTTATTGGGGAGGACTGGGTACCCTTTAAAAGTGGTTATTTTATTCTGTTTATCTGGATATATATGGCTGCCACCAGGAAATTTTAAGGATTTCCAAACCTTTTATACTTTACTGTTGTTCTTACTATTTTGGTAGACCGAGTTCAAGGCTCCTGAGGAAGTATTTATTTCAGAGCTGGTATACTTGAATGAAAGAGGATTTATTGAAATAAAGCATAAATAAGAGGGTAGTACAATGTAACTAGTAATGTGTAAATACTGAACAATTGCTTTGGTATCCCACACAATCTTCTCCCTCTCTCTGTCAGGGATCTTTGCATGTAACTTTGTAACACTTGTTTATCTCAATGCCATATACGTTTACTGTTTCACTCTAGCCTGTCACTCAGACTTTCCTTTAACTCTTGTTCACTTAAAGTTTACTGTTTCCTAGACACTCAGCTTTCAGCTTATACCTGCTTCAACACAGAACTGCTTGTCTCTCCTTCACACACAGAACTCACTGAACTTATCAACTGTCAAACCTGTAACAGTAAAACCTGACTGACATACAACCCCTCCCCCTCTCTGTCAACCACCAATCATACCACACTTGCCTCTCTCAACCACTCTAATCTACTTACCACAGCCATGCAACCAAACTTTTAAAGAGACACACAAACACCAAAAACAAGGAATTGTTACAAGGAGGTTTTATGTTTCTCTGTCAGAGCACTGCAGCTGGGCCCACTCACAATTGGTGGGCACTTTCTGCCTAGCTCTGGTGGCAGTTTGGGCACTGGGCTGAATCCAATTGGGGGGAGTTCATGCATGTGCGTCTGCCTCACCCATTTTGGGGCCCCCTTTAAGGAGTCTTGGGGTGGAGCCATGCAGTGTCATACCCAGCTCGAGGGCTGTCACCCTGCTCCTTTCCCACATGGCAGGACTGGTGACCAGGTGGGACCACAGGACTTGGCACTCCAGGTTCCCCCCAGCAAATGTTCGATCAGGTAAAAGCTGTGCCAATGCTCCAATGGCTGTCACCCCAATACAACTGTGACCTATTTTACTCCTATTTGTCTTTGCATAGGTTTCTGTTCCCACCACTCGTCCAACTCCCCCACTGCCCTTAGGACTGCAAATCAGTAGGAATTTGCCATTAGGACTGCAAATCAATAGCATAAACTGTATTTGGCTTTATCAACCTCAAAAACATCAGGATGAGTATCCTAGAGGTAAAGGTAAAGGTTTCCCTTGCTCGAAAGCCGGTCAAATCCGACTCTAGGGTTGTGGTGCTCATCTCCGTTTCCAAGCTGAAGAGCCAGCTCTGTCCAAAGACATTTCCGTAGTCATGTGGCTGGCATGACTAAACGCCGAGGCACATGGAACGCTGTTACCTTCCCACCAAAATGGTTCCTATTTATCTACTTGCAATTTCTTGCTTCCGAACTGCTCGGTTGGCAGGAGCTGGGGCCAGAGACGGGAGCTCACTCCGCCATGCAGCACACTTGGGTCTCAAACTGCTGAACTACCGACCTTCCAGCCTGCAGTTCAGCGTCTTAACCACTTGAGTATCCTACATGAATTTTAAATATCAATATAATCTAACATCTTAGAAAATGGTGGCTACAGGAAAAACGTCCCCAAATTGGAATGTCTACCCAAGAAATTTTTAAAGCAGTAGTGCTCTGAAACACACACAAACAATAATATTCTCTGTACATATATATTTTTGTAGGGGTCTGTTGTAGATCCAGGACTAAGACTAGCATCTCCATACATCTGCCAGCACTCGGCTGCTGCAGCACAGGCAACCCTTAGGATTGTACTGCCTGGGCAGTAAACTGTCCTGCTGAGTCTTAGCATGTCTTTATAATTTTTTTTAAAATGACTTCTTAGTTATTCTGGAAGTGTTTGTGTTTAATGAGCCTCCACTTATTGTTTATGAATTTATGAAATGCCCCAAGGCACTTCTGGCATGGGACTTATGTTAAATAGGAAACAAGCCTACTTTGATTGCAAAACTAGAACTTGTAGGGGTAAGTGATGCTGTGGGATATACAACTTTTATGCCATGCTCCAGTATTTTCAGGAATCATTCAAATTTGTTCTGTTGAAAGAAAATAGAGATGCAATGAAGGACCTTTAGCTGTCCATATACACTCCTGAATGATAACATGTAATTCCATAGTTGTTTATTCAGGGAAAACTATCAATTAAACTTAGCAAAGCCTTTTTCTGACTAAGGGATATGAAGGGCAGAGGTTACATCTGACTGGGAGCAAAACAGACAGCGTGCTATATTTATTTCAGGGTTGAAATACAGGGATGTATAATTCAATTTCTGAATACAATTATGCTATTGAAAACAGTTGCCCCAGTGAAATAAATATTCACACTAATTTTTCAGTACACTTCAGTCTGTCTTCCAGTTTGATATGGGAAATGCATCTTTTTTTAATTGGAATGGAAAAATCCAAAACACTCAATTCATATACACCTATAAAATGTGAAGTGTGGCTGTATGCATGTTTACTTGGGTTGACCTCTAAATCTAAGCAAGTGTGCACAGGATTGCAGCATTCGTAATATAAATGGTTTTAATTCTAAATACACTAGTTCATGGGAGAGGGAATCTGGTATTAAAGCTGCTGTTATGGTTTGATGAAGCTGCCATGAGGTGCTCACATATTTCTAGATGGGAAATTCTAAAAGGAGTCATACAGGGACATCGGAAATATTATGCATGCTGCTTCATTTACACCCTACCATTCTACCCAGTGGTGACCCAAAGTAACTTCTGTCATTCTTCTCGCCTCCATTTTATCCCCACAACAACCCTCTGGGGTAGGTTAGGCTGAGAGTGTATAACTAGGCCAAGGTCGCCTGACAAGCTTCCATGGCAGAGAATTTGGACCTGGGTCTCTGAGAACCTAGTCCAACGCTCTAACTTGGTGACCCATAAAGAAAAACACAAGGGGAATAAATAATTCAGAAATTATTTCCCTATAGTGGAAGAGTGTGACATTGCCGAGTTTCTGGGTTCCTGCTCATCAAGCCTTGAAACGTAGCAATCTGTCACTGTGGTGCAATTGCCCTGACTACTGAAGTTTAGAGATAGGTAAGCAAGAATGTCCCTGAGCAGTCTGAGAGAATTTAGGAGGGAAATTTGTGTTGGAGAATGTGCACTACATGCCAGGCTGTACTTTCACCCTTTACTTCTAGGCTACTGTAAGCTAACCCCTTCTTTTTTTGCAATTTAAAGAGTCGGGGGGGGGGATAACTAGAATTAAGAAGTACTTTTATCCTGATCCTAATGCTAGCAGATGTCCTCCTCTTGCCCATGCCACATGTCTTTTGTCCACAAAGGTCCCTTAAAATCCTGGGATTACCTTTTCATTGCTCACAGGAGCTGCTGAGGAAGGGGAATGGCATGAAGGATCCATTTTTGCCACTGACTGTTTCACATACCTCTGGCTTGAGCAGCCTGTCTGTCTGACATATTCTCTCCCTCCCTCCTCTCTGATACACACTTTTGTCTGTGTCTCCTCCTCCGTCCTTTCTTACTGTCACAGAATTAGGGCCTGGATTGAGCCTTAGTCCTCTGTTACTTTATTTCTATAGTAATTAGCCTCTATAGTTGAATCTTTGGTTCTTTTTCCCAGGAGGTTTCAGAACTCTGAGGGTGTTGTGGCCTTCTGGTACTGATAACTCTGTACATGACTTTTGCCTTAGAGGATGTTTGTACATTCCAGAAGTTAGTGGTGTCACTATCAGAATCAAAAATAGATAGGGTATCTTAAATTAGCTTCCTTGACTCTCCTCGGCTTTCTGAGAGCTTCCTGACCCCAGAGGCAGAGACAAGGGGGAGGGATTTCAGTCAGTACATTGGGTCACTTTTGGTCAGTTGTAGTTTGGCCTGCGTCACATTCATGATAGTCCTACATGATAGGTATGTCAGCAGCTATAGGTCCAAGAAAGATATATACCTCTGAGTCACTAATGGTAAAGGAATGGCCATCAACAGTTCCATGTGAGACTTTGGTGGCTAGTCCAGAATGTTCTGAGTTTTATACAAGTGCACTATTTTAAGTATTGGGTTTGTGCTGAAATAGTCTATGTTGAATATTGAAATGCTACAAAGTGTTTTCTGTCTTAAGAATGTGTAATGAAATAAATTGAGCTTTGTTTAAGAACCATTGTCTCTCTCTGTACTAGATTCAGTCCCTTGCCAATCTCCACCCAACCAGTGAAAGAACTCAGGGGAACTGGGGGGTCCCAGGAATCCCTGGCCCCCAAAATCCTTCAACACTTACTCCATCAACCATTCTTGCCTGAACTAGGAAAAAACATGCTGTGCCTCTCATTATCCATGAATGGGTCAAGCAAATAACTTCATTCCATAGGACCTGAAGATCAGATCCTTTCTTCTCACAATTGCTACTGCCTCATCCCCCTCAGCTGCCACCACCTTATCTCCCCTTTCCCATCACACTTCCATTTCCTGCCTCTCACTGCTTCTTGCACTCTTCATATTCAACCTGCCTCTTAGCTGTCCTCTGGGGGGATAAGCAATTGGTGCTGATCCTATCAAGCACTAGAGAGGCAGGAACAGAGTTCTGCTTCTGAGAGTTTTCTGAGAGGGGAATATTGTGGATCAGAAAATTGTGGACCAGATATAAACATGGGTCTACAGGCCAGCTGATGTCCACCTCTCTCTTAAGAATGTTTTTAAGGGGAGAATTACCTATACTGTTTAAAAAACAACACACAACAATCATTGTCTGTTCTCAGCTCAATGCATCCTAGAGACGTACTTTTGAAGCAATATATATCATGCCATCTCCTCCAGTCATCACTTACCTTAAGGTGGGTAAAATAAGTTCCAGATTTTTGTACAGTACTGCTCCAAGCACAAATACAGTGGATTCATCTAGTTCTAAAAAAGAAGGGGGGAGGGGACAAAGAAAGACAATATGTACATTAAATGTGCTGCCTTTCTTAACCTTTTCAACTTAGTCAGCATACAGGTACATGGGATGGTATTTATCACTGTGGAAGAAGTTTTTAAGGAAATCATCACTGGAAGATGAAATATGTTTCCCAGCATTCTATCATAAAAATGTAATATGATATATTAAAGAGGGGAAAAGTCTATACAATGGAACATTTCACAAGATTTAAAGCGCTCAGAGGTCTGGCTGTTGTGTGAGATTCATCATTTCTGGGTGTTGTGTGAGATTCATCATTGGTGGCTAAACTGTGCCAGCATTTTGTGATATATTCTGCCTTGATTATGAAAGATCCACAGGAGTTATTTTTAGAGGACCTCTTTTTCTTTAATGTTGAAGAGGACAAGACTCTCTGCTGTGGAAATCTGCCACTACAGACACCACTGTAATTTAATTCTGGAACCTCAAGCCAAGGCATTTGGTGTAAGGGAAATCACTAGAGTGACAGGACTCCATATTAACACAACATATGGACCATGTTGAAGATTATGGTGCAGCAACTACCAAATGAACTTTCAACAGGGATCCGTAAATCCCATATCCTTGACATGCACACCTGTGTGACAGATAGGTTAGGTGCACTAACACTTCACATTTTTATATATGCAGTTAAAAACAAAGGGCATAATCTATTCACACATGGAGAAAGGATAATCACAAGACTCATATGAGTTCTCTCATCTCCCTTCCTCCTCCTGTGTGGTCCTCAGGCATTTGTATATAAAGATGCATGAATCACAGCATACTCACAATTATTTCCAGCAGAAGACATTGCATTGATATTTATACAGAAACCCACCCCACTCTTCATGTCCCCAGGCTGCAAGTTAATTTGCAATCTACATGTACCTGTGCACACTCACTCAAGAACCATCCATGATTAGAAAAAACAAAACAGCATCTGTCGAACCCAAAGCTACACTCATGAGATGTTCAGAAATGAATTGTGCCCATAATGAGTAAAGAGGCACACAAGTTATAATAGTGGATAGAACACAGATCCGGTTCCCTGAGGCTACTTTTAGAACCAACACAGGGTTCAGGGCCAGATCTACTCTTCTCACCTCCTGTTTCTTGTGCTGTCATAATTTCCTAACCATTTTTTTCAGTTGTGCAAATGTATACATTGATATGGTATATATTAATATGGTATCAGACTGCATTAGCCTACAGGAAATTACAGTAAAGGCAGAAAAGAATCAAAATGAGGAAAATAAAAGGACCTGTATTTTGCCCCTTATATCCACAAATGCAAACAGATATACTAGGGGAAGATATAAATGACAAGCTTGGGTCTCTGTGTGCAGCTAGTTGCACCATGAACCAATGATTCCAAATTCCTCATTCTGACCACAACACTGCACTGTTGCCCTAATTAAAAATACAGTGACAGAAAGTCTGGTGTTTTTTATTTGTTTTTTTACCTGTTGACATAGGGGTGAAGATATTTTTGGGAATGACAACTCTGTCTTCTGAATTACGTGCCCAGTCAACCATTCCTTTCCTTCCTTTCATGGGGAAATTGATGTCCGTTAGAACGGATGCTGCAGGAAGCTTCTGAATGCTAGCCACTATAGAGGGGGAAAAATCAAAAGATCAACCAGAACTCCTGCTTTATCTTTCAGCATCATTAAGGTATCATACTAGGAAAAGTACATTAAAAATTTGACCATGACGGAAAAGGTGGTGACAACCCCCCCAAAAAAAACATTTAAAATGCAAAAGAACATTTATAAATATATCAACTGAGACAACAAGAAAATCTATCTTTACAATTAATAGAAAAGCTATGGATGAATGTTATGGCCTCGACTCTCTCATTCAACAGTCAAATTCGACATCTTAATGGGGATTATTCAATCTTTTGGCTCATGTTCTGAAAATCACATGGAATGACACAGTGGTTCTGTCTCCTCAGAACATATTCAGGATGGATTTATTTTATTATTTTTTTTAAAAAAGGGAGAGTATAACTTGTTTTTGGATATATAACTTCTAGAGCCAGGTTAATGAAGCAATAACAATGCTGCTATCCTTTGCATGGGCATAATGAGATTTGAAAACAACTCCCATTAAATAGATTGACATATTAGCAGCTGGTAGTCTGTTTGTTTCTGGGCAGCAGTGGCTTAGAGGTTAAGACGCTGAACTGCAGACCAGAAGGTCGGTAGCTCGGCAGTTCGAGACCCTAGTGCCATGTGACGGAGTGAGCTCCCATCTCTGGTCCCAGCTCCTGCCAACCTAGCAGTTCAAAAGCAAGAAATTGCAAGTAGATAAATAGGTACCGCTTTGGTGGGAAGGTAACAGTGTTCCATGCACCTTAGCATCTAGTCATGCCGGCCAGTGCTGACTCTTTGGCTTGGAAACGGAGATGAGCACTGCCCCTAGAGTTGGATTTGACTAGCTTTCAAGCAAGGGAAACCTTTACCTTTACGTTTTTAGTCTGTTTCTACCCAAGGTAAAAAATAGCTACCAGTAGCTCACAAACCATTTTCCATTTCTCTTCACTGTGAAATGTAATTATTGCTATTTCATTACTCCTTTTCTCAGAGTATTTAGAGAGCAGAAAGCTTTGGAAACATTACCTTATTTTAGCTTCACAACAACCCTTTTAAGCAAGTAACTGATATCCCCATTTGTAAGAGTGAGGCTGGTATAGTGAGGACAGCATAAGAGCTCTCAGTGTGCTTGTGATTCAGGCTTTCCCAGGTCATTAACAATAATTATTTTCCATTAAAAAACAAACAAAACAACAACAACAAAAATCAGCATAGTACCTCTGAACTAAATTTACAAAATGTAACAACTACTGCAATCCATCTTAAAGGTCAGGCACATACTGTCAGACCATGGTTCTAAATGCAAATATGGTATCTTATTTTTCCACAAAAACACCCACCTATTCATTATTATCGCTACAGAAGATTGGAAATGTACGGATAGAAACCAGCACAATTATTAAAACACTAACCCTATGCTGAAGGCGGCAAACTTGAATGTTGTTTACTCATTTCCCCCTATTTATAATGCAGTTGTTATCTAGACATCTCTTTTATTGGTGCTTTAAAAATCTGTGCATGATTCCATGGCAACACTGCTAGTTTCAAGCAGAATTCCAACTACTTGAATGCTTCTGACAGATCTCGGTGCCATTATTCACATTCACAGAGATGATAAACAATCTCAGAGCTCCATTTCTAATGTGAGCCAGAGTGATAATTGTTTTTTTTGCACACTGCTTCTTGTAATCATTTTACAACCAGAGTAATAAAGTTCATGTGGTTTGCACATTGCCTCTATGTACAATGATGTGTATAAGCAATTTACTGCAAATGCCCCAGAGAGGGGTAAAAGAGAAAGACAACAGGAACATGATATCTCTAAAAGCATTCACAGTTGCAAAATTATAGCAGAAAACCATTTGGTCTCTCATAAGTGGATTTCATTTGAAAGGAAATTGTAATTTAAATCAAGAAACAAGGAAAATTAAGGTATTAATAATATTAGCTCTACAGAGGTCCCGGTCACATGAGCGGGATGATCCGCTGTCAAAGGGAAGCACATTAGAGCAGGAGCAAAAAGAACTGCGGGAGCGTGATCCAATGTGCCCCTGTGACTCCGTGCTCCAGCAGCCGATCACATGTTGTGCAGCAAACCGGCAGTAGCGCGGTTGTGCGCATGCATGGGACGGGGAACGGCGCTGGTTGCGACGGGCTACCAGCACTTCCCCGACCAGATGCCTGGAGTTGCCGCGCATCATCTGGAAGGTAGTGCTCTGTTGCTAGTATCTTTTAAATGCACGTTTTTGGGCCGAAGGGACGGATCAGGGACGGGTGCGTGACACTTCCCAGATGTTGCGGTGTGATCATGCCCGCTTGATGCGCCCCCGATCCATCCCTCTTGCAGGGCAAATCCTCCCATGTGACTGGGGCCAGAATATATTGCTCAACAACTGCCTCTTAGTTCCCAATTAACCTGGTTATGTATTAAAGCATCACTTCAGTACAGCTGTATTTTAGGCCTTTCTAAACATTTATTTATTTTAAAAATGTGTATCCTGCTTTTTGGTTAACAATCTCTGTTCCAAATGGCTAACAAGAAAGATAATTTTTTTTGGAAACAATACACTAAAATGTAAGCAAATCCAAATCAAACAAATGTTAAAAGAGCCAGGAGATGTTGACATAGAATGTCCAGTATGGTCAAAGGAACTGCTGAAAACTTACTAGAAAAAGAGTAATCTTACTGTGTGTTACAAAGCCAGAAAAGATAGGTCAAAGAAGGCTTAGGCCTTTAATGGAGGATTTCCAGAGTCTGCTGTCACTGAAAATGTCCTGTCTTTTGTACTCACGGATCAAACTTTTGATATAGAAGGAATATGAAGCCCAGCATCCATGGAAGATCTTAGCATGATATGGAAAAAACAGCCAGTTAACCCTGGTCCTAGACAATTCAGGGCTTCAATGTTGCCCTTTTATGCAGATAGGTGTTAAATAGTGGGCTCCATGGATGAGCAGACACCAAGTCTAGTGATCAGCTCTACTTTATAAGACATTTCAGCAAGAACAAGACAGAACTCCAGGGCCACAGCCCTGTTTAAATAGCATGCAAATGCCACACCCAAACTCACCCCACTCCCAACTACCGGCTATTTACATAACATTGCTTCTTGACTGGTTACTTCCAGAGTCCTGGTGGGCTATTGTTCTTGGGCTCCAAGGTCAGCCCGTCTGTCAGGAGGGCGCTCTCAACCCCCTCCCGACTATGCCGGAACCCACCCCCTCTGTTCCCGAAAGAACCCCGGCCTGGGGTCTCGGCCATTCCCAGGGGGTCCGGGAGTACTTGCAGGCAGACCTCACCGAGGGGATGGAGCCACAAAAGGGGGAAGACGAGGTAGAGGAGGTCATTGGGCCCGACAACAATATGGAGATAGATGCAGAGAGGGGTGGGAGGTACAATGGTTCTGAAGTCCCTATGCAGAGAAATAGATGTTGGTGAGGGCACTTTAAGAGTTGGGTGGTGGGTTCACCATGTGATGTTGTTGAAGCAAATAAAAATGGCTCTCAGGTGTACCCGAGGAGGAATGACGGTGAGAGACGCGGAAGAGACAGAGAGGAGTGAAGTAATTCGGGCTCGTCCAAGCGTACCGCCGGGTTGAAAGAGAGATTGTGTCAGCTCTCAAACGACAGTTCTGAGGGGAACCTAGGCCTTTTATGCTTCTCCTACCACACTGGATAGAACTCCCGATCCAACCGGACCCCGCAGCCCAGGAAAAGCTCACACCGTCTCTGGTAGAACAGTCCTGGAATGTTTCAGTCCCAATACATAACAATAGGGTTGCCAGCTCTCAGTTGGGAAATACCTGGAGATTTTGGGGGTGGAGCCTGGGGAGGGCAGGGTTCGGGGAGGGGAAGGACCTCAGCAATGTATAATACCACAGAGTCCACCCTCCAAAGCAGCCATTTTCTCCAGTGGAACCAGGCCTGTAGCCAGGATTGTTTTGCTTGTGGGGCATATTTTTTTTCTTATGGGGCAGACAAATAAAAATAAAATAAACATGAATTGCAGCTCTTCAAACCTGAATTGTATTCATAGCTCTTCAGTCCCCCCCCCCCCATAGATCTTCAGTCCCCCCCCCCCATTTTGATCCACCATCAAATGAAAACTGGACTTTTTGGTCGCTTTAAAAAATTATGATTTACTTGCAACTTCTCTTTAAACATGAATTGTGGCTCATCCCCCTCTCACCAACCCTTTTTTGCTTGCTTTAAAAACATCATTAAATATTTGCAGCAGCCCTACGGCTTCTGGTCACTTTCACTCCTAGACAAACAACTGTTAGGTCTAACAGCTGATCTGCAGGAGTGAAACTGACCAGAAGATGGAGGGTGCCTTCCCTTTCTTTCCCTAAAAAAACCCTAGCCTTGCTGCTGCTGTTGGGCTAAGCACACTGCGGGGGTGGGTGGCATTCTCAGGTGATGGGGCAGGGCTCGTGGGGGGCTTCACACCCAAATATCCCACCATAGCCAGAGCAGAACTGATCTTGGTAATCTGGAGGCCAACTGCAATAGTAGAAGATCTCCAGGTGCCACTTGAAGGTTGGAAACCCCAAACGCAGAGCTACTACATCCTTGTAAGTCCACTGAAGTTAATGGGATTAAAAAGATGTAATTCTCCTTAGAATCACACTACAGATGTTAAAAAAAAGCTCAACTGGGCCACGCATATTGAGAAGTGATGTAATCTATTCAGGCTTAATGACTCACCTGTTATTTGTGAAAACTAGGCCTTAGAGCTGCTACACTTCAGTTTAGGACAAACAAACCCTGGTATGGGTGGGAGAACCTCCCATCATGAGTTTCCAAGTAGCAGTGGGGAATTTTTAAAAGCAGTTCTTCCTCAGAAGTGATATCATCACACCAGCAATGCTGCCCTTCCATGCCCCCCCAAGCAGGGTTACCAGGTCCCTTAGACCTGCCAGCAGGAGATGGGGGGTTGAACTTACCAGGAGTGGGGAGGAATGCTGAATATAAACACGGTGTGCCTACGTGACCCAGAAGTGACATAGGCA